CGTGTCCTATAGCCCATGCTATCTGGTGGGGCCCAGACCACAGGCCTGGATCACCTGAATTTTTGCCAGCCTATTAAAAAATTCCTAAGGAACAAGAGTCACCACTTTTCCATGACTATTACTCGCTTTTTGGCATTTTAGGGCCATAAAATTTGAATTTCCCCCGATTCTCAGATTCTTGTGCTATAGCCCAGGCCATCTGGTGATGCTCGAGCCACCGAACCCGGATCGCCTAAAATTTTGCCAGTCCATCAAATATAAGCTAATGAACAATAGTCACTGCCTCGCTATGATCGTTCCTCATTTTTTAGAGTTTTAGGGCCATAAAACCAGAATTCTGCCTGATGCACAGATTTTCGTACTCTATAGCCCTCATCATCTGGTGGGGCTAGGGCCACCGAACTTGGATCGCGTAATATTTTGTCGGCCCATCAAAAATCGCCTAAGGAACAATTGTCACCACCCCGTCATGACCGTTTTTCAGATTTTGGCATTTTAGAGTCCATAAAATTAGATATGCGCCCGATTATTAGATTTTCGTGTGCTAAAGCCCCATCTGGTGGTGCCCGAGCCACCAGACCCGGATCGCCTAAAATTTATTTGGCCTATCAAATATGAACTAAGGAATGATAGTCACCACCTCTCCATGATCGTTCCTCATTATTTTGCATTTTAGGGAAATAAAAGTGGAATTCCTTCCGAATTTCATATTTTCGTGTGTTGTAGCCCACGCTATCAGGTGGGGCCAGAACCACCAGACCTGGATCGCCTAAAAATTTTCTATCCTATAAAAAATGATCTTAGTAACAATAGTCACCTCCTCGCAATGACCGTTACTCATATTTTGGCGTTTTAGGGCCATAAAACTTGAATTTCACCCGATCTCTCAATTTTCGTGTGCTATAGCCCACGCGTGCTAGTGAGGCCAGTGCCACCAGGCCCGGATCATCTAAAATTTTGACGCCCCATAAAAAAGACCAATGGAACAATAAACACCGCTTCGCCATGACATTTCACATTTTTAGGCGTTTTAGGGCCATAAACTGGAATTCCTCCCGATTCTAATATTTTTGTGTATTATAGCCCACGCCATCTGGTGGGGCTCGGGCCACCAGACCTGGATCGCCTAAAAAATTTTCCTCCCATTAGAAACGACATAAGGATCAATAGTCATCGCCTTGCCTTGACCGTTCCTAATATTTTGGCATTTTAGGGCCATAAAACTGGAATTCCGCCCGATTTTCATATTTTCATGTTCATAGCCCACGCCATCTGGTGGGGTCTAGGCCACTAGACACGGATCGCCTAAAATTTTTTGGCTAATTAAATACGACCTAAGGAACAATTGCCACTGCCTCTCCATGACTGTTCCTCATTTTTTTATGTTTTAGGGCCATAAAACTAGAATTCCTCTTGTATCCCAGGTTTTTAATGTGCTATAGCCCACGCCATCTAGTGGGACCGGGCCACCTGACCCGTCCTTAAAAAAATTTCAACCCATCAAATGCGACCTAAGGAACAATAGTCACCGCCTCGCCATGACCGTTCCTTGTCCGAAACGCAAAAATCTGGGAATCTTGCAGAATTCCAGTTTTATAGCCCTAAAATGCCAAAAAATGAGAAATGGTCATGGCGAGGCGGTGACTATTGTTCCTTAAGTGGTTTCGATGGGCTGAAAAAATTTTAGGCGATCCGGGTCTGGTTTCCCGAGCCCCACCATATGGCACGGGCTATAGCACAAGAAAATCTGGGAATAAGGCGGAATTCTAGTATTATGGCTATAAAATGAAAAACATCGAGAAAAAATCATAGCGAGGCGGTGACTACTTTTCCTTAGGTCATTTTTGATGGGCTGGTAAAATATTAGGCGATTCGGGTTTGATGCCCCCGGCCTTACCAGATGGTGTGGACTATAGCTTACGAAAATCTGGCAATCAGATGGAATTCCAGTTTTATAGCCCTAAAACGCCAAAATATGATGAACGGTCATGGTGAGGCGATGACTATTGTTCCTTAGGTCATTTTTTATGGAACAGAAAAATTTTAGGTGATCCGGGTCTGGTGGCCCGAGCCCCAGCAAATAGTGTGGACTATAATATACAAAAATCTGGGAATCGGGTCGAATTCCAGTTTTATGGCCCTAAAACACCAAAAACTAAGAAACAGTCATGGAGAGGCAGTGAATATTATTCCTTAGGTCTTTTTTAATGGACCGAAAAAATTTTAGGTGATCCGGGTCCGGTGGCCCGGGCCCACCAGATGGCGTGGGACACGAAAATCAAGTAATCGGGCAGAATTCTAGTTTTATGGCACTAGAACGTCAAAAAATGAGGAACGGTAATAGCGGGGCGGTGAATATTGTTCCTTAGGTCTTTTTTATTAGGCCGACAAAAATTTATGCAATACGGGTCCAGTAGCCCGGGCCTCACTAGATGCCATGGACAATAGGACACGAAAATCTAGAAATTCGGAGGAATTCTAGTTTATGGCCCTAAAACACCCAAAAAATGAGGAACGATCATGGCGAGGCGGTGACTATTGTTCCTTAGGTCATTTTGATGGGTCGAAAAAATTTTAGACGATCCGGGTCCGGTGGCCCAAGCCCCACTAGTGGCGTAGGCTATAAGCACACGAAAATCTGGGAACTAGGCTGAATTCCAGTTTTATGACTCTAAAACGCCAAAAAAAACGGTAATGGAGAGGCGGTGAATATTGTTCCTTAGGTCTTTTTTTATAGGCCGACAAAAATTTAGGCGATCTAGGTCAGATTGTCTGGGGGCCACCTGATAGTGTGGGTTATAGGACATAAAAATCTGGGAATGGGGAGGAATTCCAGTTTTACGGCCCTAAAATGCCAAAACACGAGGAACGGTTATGGCGAGGCGATGACTATTGTTCTTTAGGTCATTTTTGATGGGCCGAAAAAAGTTTAGGCGATGCGGGTCCGGTGGGCAGGGGACCATTAGATGACGTGAGCACACAAAAATGTGAGAATCAGGCAAATTTCAGTTTTATAGTGCTAAAACGCCAAAAAGTAAGGAACGATCATGGTGATGCGGTGACTATCGTTCCTCACGTCATTTTTGTTGGGCCGACAAATTTTAGGCGATCAGGGACCGGTAGCCCGGGCCCCACCATATGGCGTGGGTTATAGCACACGAAAATTTGGGAAGCGAGCTAAATTCCAGTTTTATGGCCCTAAAACGCCAAAACACGAGGAACAGTCGTGGCGAGGCACTGACTATTGTTCCTTAGGTCGTTTCCGATGAGCAGGCAAAATTTTAGGCGATTTGAGTCTGGTGGCCCGAGACTCACTAGTGGCGTAGGCAGCACACGAAAATCTGGAAATCAGGCTGAATTCCAGTTTTATGTCCCTAAAACGCCAAAAAATAAAAAACGATCATGGCGAGGCAGTGAATATTGTTCCTTAGGTCTTTTTTTATAGGCCGACAAAAAATTAGGCAATCCAAGTCTGGTGGCCTAGGGCCCACCAGATAACGTGGGCTATAGGACACGGAAATCTGGGAATGGGGAGGAATTCTACTTTTATGGCCCTAAAATACCAAAAAATGAGGAACGATCATGGCAAGGTGGTGACTATTGTTCCTTTGTTACTTTTTATGGACCGACAAAAATTTTAGGTGATCTAGATCTGGTCTGGGCTCCACCAGCTAGCATGGGCTGTAGCACACAAAAAATTGAGAAATCGGGCGGAATTCTAGTTTTATGACCCTATAACGCCAAAAAATAAGGAACTGCCATGGTGAGGCGGTGACTATTGTTTCTTAGGTCGTTTTAGGGCCATAAACTGGAATTACTCTCGATTCCTTAGGCCAAAAAACCTTTATGTGATCCGGGTCCGGTGGCACGGGCTCCACAAGATAGCGTGGGCTATAGCACACGAAAATCTAAAAAAACAGGTGGAATTCTAGTTTTATGGCTCTAACATTATAAAAACGAGGAACGGTCATGGCAAGGTGGTGATTATTGTGCCTTAGGTCGTTTTTGATGGGCATGCAAAATTTTAGGCGATCTAGGTCCGGTGGACCTAGGCTCCGCATAAGAATATCAGGGAATCAGGCAAAATTCTAATTTTATGGCCCGAAAATGCCAAACAATGAGGAATATGACTATTGTTCCTTTGGTCATTTTTTATGGACCACCAAAATTTTAGGCGATCCGAGTCCGGTGGCCCCGGCATCACTAGATGACATAGGCTACAACACATGAAAATATGAGAATCGGGCGAAATTCTAGTTTTATGGCCCTAAAACGCCAAAAAGAGTAACAGTCATAGCGAGGCAGTGAATATTTTTCCTCAGGTCATTTTTGATGGACCGGAAAAATTTTAGGCTACCCGGGTATAGAGGCTAGGCCACACCAGATGGCATAGCATTCGAAAATCTAGGAATCGGGTGAAATTCCAGTTTTATGGCCCTAAAATGTAAAACACGAGAAACGGTAATAGCGAGGCGGTGTATCGTTTTTGATGGGCCGACAAAAATTTAGGCGATTCGGGTCTAGTGGCCCGGGCCCCACCAGATGGCGTGGTCTATAGGATACGAAAATGAGGGAATCGAGTGGAATTCCAGTTTATGGCTCTAAAACGCCCAAAACATGAGAAACGGTCATGGCGAGGCGGTGTTTATTGTTCCTTTAGTCGTTTTTTATGGGCCGGCGCAATTTTAGGCAATCAGGGTCTGGTGGTATAGGTCCCACCAGCTCGCGTGGGCTATTATAGCACATGAAAATTGAGAAATTGGGTAGAATTCCTATTTTATGGCCCTAAAACGCAAAAATATGATGAACAGCCATGGCGAGGCGGCAACTATTGTTCCTTAGGTCGGTTTTGATGGGCCGACAAAAATTTTGGAAGATCCGGATCGAGTGGACTATAGCACATGAAAATTCCTTCCAAATTCGAATTTCCTCGTTCTTCACTTTGTCGAGTCTCAGAACCCCAGATTGCAGAGAATTCCACTGAGAACTACACCTCTACATCTGCCGATAAAACTCCTTCCAAATTGCTTTCGACACAAACTAGCAGAGCAAAATTATCAGCAGGAGGGGTTCTTTCTGGTACTTTACCACCATCTCCTTTACCCACAACTCCATTAAAAAAACATGAAGGGTGGAGATGGTTCGCCTTTATTAAGTGCTGACGAAACTCCAGCAAAACATACATCTACACCAGCAAAATTGATGACTTCTACACCTGTGCTCCAACCTACCAAGAGATGTTATATGAGTCCGGATGGAGAGTTAACTGAATCACCACAAAAGCTAGTTAGGCACCCTCCTCGTATTAGGTCATTGACCTTTGATACTCCTGTGAAGAGTTCAAAGGTTTCTGAAGTCATCCATAGTAGAGAATCGTCAATAGATGATGAAATCTTTGACATTCTTCCTGAGAATCTTCTGCTATCGGTAAGACACGAAAGAACTTTTCTTTCAAGACACCATTTCCTTGTTGATAATATATAATTTTGACTAATTTTGCATGGCATCATTAAATTAAAAAAAAAAAATTGATCCATTGAACTGAGAAATTAGGAAATCTATATTCTATATTTCTTGGTCTACTTCTAAAGGTTAGCGGCTAAATGTTTCATGGATCTGCAGATCAGAGAAAAGGAGCAAAAGCAATTAGAGGAGAAAGATCCAGCTATATCCCAAGCGAAATGGCGCAAGAAAATGATTTTGAGCTTACCTAAGTTCTTCGACATGATTTACTTCCTATTTCAATCAATTAAACGTTCTGTGATTACTAAAGAGGAGCTTATGCACAAAGTACTTTCAAGCCATCTAGAGATTACTGATAGAAGTAAGTCTGGCGGTTGATAATCGTTTAAATACTTGGAGTGCTTTGGCATTTTGAAGTTGCTTCTGACTTTAAACCTCTGTCTTCTTTCTTTGCAGGAGAAGTTGAAGAGCAACTCCGGTTATTGCTAAAAATAGCTCCTGAATGGATCCATGAAATGTGGGCTATAGCATAAAAAAATTTGGAAATCGGGCAGAATTTCGATTTTATGGCCCTAAAATACCAAAAAACAAGTAACGGTCATGGTGAGGTGGTGACTATTGTTCCTTAGGTCATTTTTGATGGGCCAGTAAAATTTTAGGTGATTCGGTTTCGGTTGCTGGGGCCCCACTAGAGAGCATGGTATAAGACACAAAAATATGAGAATCGGGCAGAATTTCAGTTTCATTGCCCTATAACGCTAGTGTATGTACACAACTATATGGATCAGGCCGAACGACCTCGGCATAATTCGTGCGTAAAATCGCTGGGAGTCCGAATACCCACAAGATTTTTCCTCTTGATTGAACTTGGAAATTACATGATATCCCCTTGTGACCGGAGATTGGATAAATTACTTAGATGATTCTTATTTGTTAAGATGGCGTGTACTATATGGAAATTTTAAATTGATATTTCATGAAAGGATCACGTTAATTACTGTTTCTTATTCTATTGATGTGGTTGTATTTCATGTCTACATAAAATTCTTGTATTTTATTTATTGGACCACTAGTAAGTGTTGATGTCGACCCCTCGTCATTACTTCTCCGGTGTTAGGCTAGATACTTACTGGGTATGCATTGATTTACATACTCTCGCTACACTTCTGCACAAAATGTGCAGGATCTAACAAGTTCAATCGATGGTCATCTTGGCGCGTAGGCGCAGCTGCAGAGGGAAATTTATGGTGAGCTGCATTCCAGGCTACGTGTCACAACCCACCGAGTCTCCATCTTATTTATTTACTTTACCATGTCTATTTTATATTCCAGTCATATGTTGTATTATTATTATGGCACTCTTTAGTAGATGCCCATTCACTTGTGATACCGAGTTTTGGGATGTTCTAGAATTTGTTTAAGGTTTGCTTTACATTGACATATATTTGCTTTATAATTTATCCGAAATGTATTTATTTATGATTTTTAATGCATAAATTCCTCTATCTAATAAGATTCATGATTTCAAAAATAATAAAATAAATAATTAAGTTCGTTCACTGTTGGCTCGCCTAACGGCGACGTTGGGTGCCCTCACGACCTATAGTGGGTTTTGGGCCGTGACAACTTGATATTAGAGCTCTAGGTTCACTTGGGTGTCACGATCATAAGCGAGTCTAGTAGAGTCTTGCGGATCGATTCGAAGACGTTTGTACTTATCTTCGAGAGGCTACAGAGATGTTAGGAGCACTTCCCTTCTTGATTCCTTGTCGTGCGATTTGATTCCATTGAAGTTTATGCCTTCATTTCCTTCCTACTCACTCTTATACGATATTGAACGGTTGTTATCAATCGGGCATCGAGGAGTTGTAGTGGTAATGCAGACGTGGCGCAGGATGTTTCTTCCTGCGTATTCGGGCGCGCTTTATCGTCGTCTTGTGGAAGGATGCTCTATCATTTCCGCTCAGTGCTAGTATTGCCTACGGTTTTGAGGCTATGTACAGTGTATTACAATGTTCACACATTGTTATCATGCAGTATTGGTGTAAATGGTAAAGTGCCTATTTATGTATCGTGGCAGTGAATGATTCAAAAGGAGGATTATCCGATTCATGGTTTAGAGGTTCGGCATTTAATTCCAGCGCATGAAAGGCAATCGGACTATGGGTGTTCAGGCCTTGGTTGACAGAGTAGCGAGACTTGATACTCTCGGACGTGGTGGAATTATCATTTGTGATGTAGTGTCGTCGTCCTTGTTTGAACGCATTAAGGCTCGTCAGTGTTATGATCTTCTTTGATTTTCCTTCGGGGCAATGTGTTGTGAAATGGTGCCTAAGAAATGGTTGTCAGAGAAGGAGGTGTGTAGCGATTTCAAAGTGGAATCAGTGTTTCTAATGTTGATGGCTCAAAAAAGATGATCTTCGAGGAGGCTTAGAATTGGTAGTGATTTATTAGTTATGGTGCCATAGACATGGATTATGATTTGAGGCAGTATTTAGGCAGCGAATGATGAGGAAGAACATGGTGGGAGGTGTCTCGCGGAGGTTGAATTGTTATAGGTCGAGTAGTTCTCTTTGGAAGATGGTTAACTTAGAGTGGGAATGTTAGCATATCATAGGGATTTCATGGTAGGATAGCCACATGCTTCCAGAAAACTTGATGCTATTATGGTCATGGTGAACAAGGGACTAAGTATGTATATTTCATTTGAGATGGTAGCTTTGTGCTTCGAAAGTTTGAATATGATGGAAAGAGTTTGCTTGGGATGTAATATGACTTCGAGTTTTGGATGCATCGCTAGACCTTCATCTGATGTTGACGGTAATGAGCGGGCGCCTTCGACTGGTGGGCTAGCATGGGCTTAAGAGGATTAACTAATTTTGTGATGGCTGTAATCAGGGCAATGTCGTTGGAAGAAGTCGATATGGGGTTACACATGTGGGCTATCTCATGTGAGGTGTTAGGAGTTGCGTGATTTCTAGTAAAGGTCCTCTGAAGAATTTCATTTTTCTATCCAACATGAATTATGTACTACGATGTGAGATGGGATCGCTTGAAGAAGATGGTGTAGAGGTCAGGAGGTCGAGTGTGTGTTTGGAGATGATAATTCAAGTTATGTTATGCAAAGTTTAACAAGAGATTGCGAGGATTTTTGCGGAGTGGCGGTGCAAAATCATGGTAACCGAGGAGGAGGAATCATTGCGATTTATGGATTTATGAAATTGTGGCTTAAAGCAAAGTGGGTGAGCCTATCGTCTACGATTGGGTCATGTGGTTGTGTGCCTTGGCAGTATCGGATTATCGGTTGTAGATTAGTTATGACCAAGGGGAGAAACATCAAGAGTTTTTCGGGTAAGGAATTTGATGTATGTGTGCTAAATTTTACCTTATCGATTCATGTGCCGATGTTGGGATGACTCAGACTTTATGCTTCTTATGTATGTGATGTGCAAGGAAAGAGATTCATCTGATTGTTTCCTTGGAAGTGTTCATGTGCTAGCAAAGCACTAGAGTTTGGTTATATTCGGGAACATGTCAAAGTGGGTGACTCTCAATAATGGTTCTAGTGGGTTCAAGAATTTAAGTGCGGTGTCTATGGATTTTGGGTTTGCTATGTGGCTGAGGACTGGGTTTTGCCATAGAGTGTGAAGAATACTCAAGGGATTTCTATGTTATCATCAGATCAGCAGTGCAGTGTTGGAGGAATGAGAGAAACAACTTCGGATTCGTAGAAGTTCTTTTAGAACGGGTGTATCCGTTAGAGATACTATTGAGTGTACAAGGAGGGTATGAGATGGTTTATGGGTATTGAGACGATGTGGTCTTGTGATTTAGGTCACTCGGGATGAGTGTTGTTTGAGGTACGTTATGTGTTTGAATAAAACTATTACTTCAAAGGCAATTCAAGAGTAAATTGGAAGAAGTGAAATCAGTTAGTGATGGTTTGAATCAGCATGGTTGTGGAAATCATCGATTCCTTCAGTGTGTGAAGCTATGCAGGTGATTCGTGGTTGTATGTACGGTCTTGACAGCCACCGTAATTTAATTGATTTGGAGGTATTTGATTCTGATAGTTTTGTTATGTGTAAATGGATCCCGGAAGAGTTATGGCGGTTTAGACTACGACTTGAGGTTTGTATTTTCTGCGGTCATGGGAATTTGGTTGTGTGTTGCAATTATTCTTCTTAAATGTGCTGAGTGAAAGGGGTTTTAGCCGATGAAGTATTTATTTTACTAGTGGTTCAGGGGTTATGGTGAAATTCATGTACTCTCGCATAGCGGCATGTTAGGTGCAGTGAGCGATATAGAAATTGGGAGTTGAGGATCAAGGTGTCGGTTTGGTGTTGATAAGAATGTCACGAACTCGGGGGAGCGGGGGAGAATTTAGATGTTCAGAATAAGCTGGCATTATCTTAATGTCGCCTAAGGACGATGTTCTGTGGAAGAGGCATTGTGTATTGGGTTGTGGATTCTTACTTGGTATTACAGAAATAGCATGGTTGATGGCCATTCATGTTCAGATTTTGCTACCTAGCATGGAAGGTTGTGGGGGTATATTCCACGGAAAGTTCGTATGAGTGCGACGTGTTAGTTTTTTGATTGTCAGAGATTGAGATCGGCTATGGAGATCTGGTGTTGTCGCTGATGGGATAGTTTGTACCTGAGAGGCGCTCTATTCCTATAGGAGTGGACTATGGGAGTTTGTTCTGGATTGGACGGCTGCTCGTGTTTGTTATGGATATGGTCATTGTGGATCCTTGAAAGATTATTGGCCCAGTATGGGATGATTGGAATCGGCTTGAGGTCCGTTGGTAGATCTAATGTGAATATATGCTCTACATTAGATCGGGTGTGTTCATTCAGCATAACATTGCTTATGGAGGAGTCTTCGGGTGTTGGATGTTATTCATGTCGTCAAATATTCTATTTAATACTCTATTATGCCATGTGGGTTGTGAGACGACTGGATTATTCGAACATGTGTTATGATCACGTCTAGCTTTTGGTGTGGTATGAGCAAGATAGCTCTCTAGATGCAGGTCGTTTATTGCACTTTAGTCATGCTTGAGTGTTTGTAGCACATGGCGCTATCCGCCTCCCATGGTTGTATTTATGCATTTGGCGTGCTTGTGGTCGATATTTGGGTATTTCGTAGGTATGAGTATTATGGCTTGATGAGTATTTCCTTATTTATTGTTATGTATGGATCGGGTGGCACGCCGCCACGGGTATGTTATTTGGATCGGGTTGTCCACTGTAACGGTGTCATGTTTGGATCGGGTTGCACGCCGCAACGGTGTCATGTGTAGATCGGGTTGTACGCCGCAACAGTAAGATGTTGAGTATGGTTCCTTATGCTTATTTGTGTGCCTTGTTTCTCATTCTCTAACGTAGGTTCATAGCATCTGTTCGACCATTTTATTCGTTACGCGAGCTGGATAGTTTTTTGCCAGAGTTCGTTCTTCTTTATGGGTCATATTCGAGTTGTAGCTTGTTGGCGTATTGATGGCGCCGAATGAGATTTCAGACGGTGTTTGAGGTGGCTTATTGCACAAATTCATGCAGATGGTGTGGACTATAACACATGAAAATTTAGAAATCGTCCTAAAGGCCACGTGAAACATGAACGTCCATTTTTTCGTGTTTATATATGTGATGATTTTCCTAAATTTATTAGATGAACTTCGATTGGCCTAAAATTGGAGGATCCATCAGATACGGCCTTGTGATTAATACTCACCATGACTAACATTATTTTTTGATTTTTTGGGGTCAAGAAGTAGTAATTGATGATTATGTTCATTTTTTCATATGTATACATGATGGTTTTTCTGAGTTTGATTGACGGGCTCGGATTGGCTTAAAAATTTATGGATCTATTGAATACAGCCTT